TTTGACTCCACGAAGGAGTTTAAAAAATTACAGCTCACGTGGAACTGCATGATACAAGCTCAAATAACGAAAGAATCTGAACGTCAACTTGTTGCGATGAGGGTAAATCTACATGCTCATGTAGTGAAGTATCTGGACGATACTTGGCTGGTTTGTAAAATTATATTCGTGTAATGATACTTGCATGGTTGTCTACATTACGGTCATGTGACAACGTCTCGTGTCGAGAGCGTACATGCGGCTAACAAGAAGTGGTTGAACGGATCCATGGGTAATTGACATTAGTTTGGACTTAATGATATTGGTAGCTCGGCTACTACATTAAATTCTTGCCCTTTGGTGATCTATGCTAGGTAAGCACAGCTCTAGCGTTGGCTTGCCACGACCGACTTGATATAGTCGGCCATCAAAACCAAAAGGAACACGCCATCTTCGAAATGCAGCTAGGACCTCTATTCGCAGGAGTAATGAGCAAATTTTTCGCTGCAAGTGGACTATCAGCGTCAATGGCTTAAAAGACTTGACCCAGGACCTCGTCAGAATATGATGACAAATAAAATAGAAAATCCTTGTCGTCATGCAATATCAAGATTGTATTGGACGTTTAAAGTACAAGATTTTGACCAGCATTGGTGGTTGGTCCAAGCTTCAACACGAAGGACTGACACCGAAACAGTCAGATGTGATGTTATCGATTATGAAACTGTGATAAAAAGACTTCTTGAGAGGTATGTTAATGCTGAAAGACACCAGCAAAGGATGCTATACGATCATGCTATCGCTGCTATATTTTCGCAGTACGTGACCCTGTGCTGGTAAGGACGCGCGGAAATTCAACAGGTTCTACCCACCGCAATTTATTTCACTTTGAGCATGTTCAGAATGCGTTTGATTTCAAGAGACGTCGACGATTTGGAAGCTGTGAGGATTTGGGCAGGACATGTCGTCAAGCCGCACAAACACAAGAAGTGCCTGCAGCACCTCCGGCATTGCGACAGATTGAGGATATAGCGCATTTCGATCCTGTGCTTGATGCTGTCAATGCTGCATCAAACATTGAACTGTGATGTAGATGTTGATACTCGTAAGCAATATACTTGCTCCTTATTCAGATGTCATCACTATGTAAATAACTCTGTTCAACTACACATTAATTTTTGTCTTAATGGCTATCTAAAACCCTTCCAAAACTTTCCACAACGGTCAATTCATGAAGATGGGTTTGTTATATCACTCAAGAACATCTAGAGGTTGAGAAGCATATAATATGTGTTGTTATATTACGATCATATATTTACACGTTTATGTCGTACCCACCTTAACCAAGCCGATGCTAGCCTACACTTCAAGTTCTATATTAGTTTGCTATCCTATTGAGCAAAAGTGTGGGTAGTCTAAGTTATCTCAGCACATCGATGTATTTACGATCGCAAACGCAGTCAATCATGTGGACGTAAGTGATATCAAAGCACGCTCGATGGAGAACGAGCTGCAATCAACACCAAGTCAGTCATTGACAAGAAGGTGATCACGGCACCTAAAAGGCGAATCAAATTACTCTACAAACAATACTATTTTAAGACAAACAATTAATAGGATAATAAGAGCTAACATACGCAACATCTTCTATCGGTACCACTTACACAGCGCACAGAAATATTCGTTATCCGACTACACCATCCTCATTATACCTCACAATACTCACGTCCAATAATAATGCAGCCAGAACCGTCTTCGGCTAAGAACAAGCTACCGGCTCGCCCATTTCATTCATCCTATAGATTGGGTGAGCCAAACTGCAGCAGCAGTTCCCATGACCAAAGTTAAATCAATACCCCGATGCAGAGACAGCAACCGGTGACGATGGCGGATTGACAGGTGCGCGAAAAACACGTCCATTATTAAGTATACAAGTGTCAGGAATCGGCTGAACGGCAGAATGCCGTTAAACATAGCTGGTAGCAATTCATATCGATCGCAAACCTTCATCGATCCAGCAAACATCAGTGTTTTTGACGCTGCATTCACGTCATCAACACATCCAAAAAACTTGCGTATCCATCCAGCCGCTAGAATTAACGACGTCCGTCACATTGACGCTCACTGAGGGCATTTATTCGTTGCTCAGTCGATAAACAAAGAGCCCGACATTGGACGTACTATCGCGGTTTTAATTCTTCCGTGCTTGAACATACCAGAAGATCAATTTTAAACGATACTGATTTAAACCCTTTAAAACTGTCCAAGTATGTTGAAAACGACGACCTGTCTTCGGCCGCTTATGTCCTTCGTGACGTTAATTGGTGGCGAACAGCTTCCAATCGCGTATACATGAAGGTATCCAGTAGCTGATCTTGACTAGGGAGATGGAATCGACGGCATTATGCATCCAGTGTTCGGGCAGTAGCAAAAGCACGAGCGACGACGGTACGAGCGACGATAACGCCTGACGGGCGGGAGGAGGATTGACGGTATCGTACAATTCTGGCTGTTTCGTTGGCCAAAATGAAAAGCGCTAAAATTAGAGTGGTCTAACACTCCGTTCCGCGCTCTTTAGAACGATCATGAAAACGCACAACGCAGCAAAGCCCGATTCGCCTAGTGCGCACTGTTTTGCGTTGCGTCGCAGGTCATGTATTCTTCTTATTTCTTGTTTTGAAGCAACTCGTTGGTGTTGCTGCCAAGTCGAAGCAAAGAGTGACAGACAAGCGAGTCGACAGCGTCATTTTACCTGTGCGACAACACGTGCGGCTGGCGACACCGTGCGATCGGAAGAGGAAGAGAGATGGGGAGATTCCTGTACCGCCGATCGAGGAGAGTGATCGTCAACTCCTTCCTTTTCGTGTTTTCACGTCCTACGGATGCACGTGTTCGAATCTTCGATGCGGTAGAAGACGTGTTTGCGAGTGTACAGACCAGATGTATTTAGTTTGTTGTTTGTGGTATCGATTGAAGCTAATGTGTCTTAGAGATCGACCGTGAAAAATTAGAATCAGGAGCGTTAAAAATGTCAATCTGGTTTTAGAATTTAGAGACTTTCAAATCCAATAACTTGTTTGATGTAGCGGGTGAAGGCTCATTAGCGATACCCTTAAATATGTAATTCACTATAAGCAAAGGCAAATGATACTTACCCGTCTGATTCATGTTTCAAACATTGCGGGGAGAATTCATGGTAAACCATTTGTAGACTAGGTAACGCCCTTGTGAAAAGCCTCTACATCATCGATCCGCTTTTGTTGTGCATGCGAATAGCTCTGATTTTGTAGCGTTGCATAAACTATAAAGTCATACGTGCAAAAATTTGATGGCGTCATCCGAAGTTTTAATTGATTCGGCAATTCATCGAGCTTTTGTGCATATCAGATCTTCGGTGGGTACAATCATACGATGCTGGTACTGCAGCACCCAGAACGCCACTTCCTCCTTTACAAATAAGAGCTATGCAAGGCACTGAAATGGCGTCGAGACTACTCCGTGTCCATTGTCTCCATATCACCACAATCAGTGTTGATGTTGCCGATAGAAGCCTGAGTCACACCTGTAATGAGGGTAACCTAAAAATCGCCCAGACAGTCAAAGCCTTTTCGCTTTTGCTGCGATTGACATCCTTGTGCTGGAATTTTAACGTCGTTGGGCATAGGTAAAGGCGGACTTACGACATTTGTGCGTTTCAAAGAGTGTTATCGAAGTAATTAAAAATTGTCACATTTTGTTCCTCGCAAAGAACACGAACAGTGCAAAAGAACAGAATGGCCACGCGAATTTGACCTTGGGGCACAATGTAATCTGAGTTTTTTAGCAACTGGTGGGGACCTGTAATGGTCGTCTCTGCGTTCTCGGAGCTTTTTTCTGCTGGTTTTAGGGGAAATAGTATTAGTGTTGAAGCGGAAGTGGTAGTTTTGGAATTGGTTTTGCACGTGAAGGTCAGCACTTTTTTATCATATATAATAGTTCAAATATTTTAATTATAGCAGAGCAACATAACACCACATGAATCCAATACCTTCCAACAATTTTTAGACTGTTAAAAAAGCGTGTCACGCGTTTTATTAGTTATCAGAGGGAAGATCAAATTGACAATATCGCGAATGAATTACTTCGTCGCGCTGATAATGTCACCGTTACACGGGACGTTATTGTTCCCTAACTACTGCTACTTTTGTAGGATCGAGGTCTTCCGTTACCTCTCACTCCATATTGCATACAAAATGATCGACAGCAAAAGTATCCTGCGCATCTTCTGCGTTAAACAGCCACAACAAGTCAACCGGTTTTGCTCGTGCAGCTTGCCAAGCACGAGCTTAATCTCTGACGCACGGCATTAGTTGTAACTACAACAAATTCAGGCGAAATAGTTTGTACACCTGGAACGAGGTCAAGAAGAACGAAGTTTCATTAGGCTTTTAGCACGAGCGCACCACTTTCACGTACTCAGAACACGCTCTTTGATTTCTCTCATCATCCCGTCTTTGCCTATAACCGTTTCGTGCAGCTCAATACGTCAGTTGCTTCGGAACGTCTGCCAACGAGTTTAAATCCATAAAATTGATTCGTTCGTGTGCCCAACAAACACCAATTGTCGACTATCACGGGCGAGCCAAAGAGAGGGCCCAACAGACCACCGCCTTCGTGGTCACTAGTCACGTCTTCCAGTGCGTTTCCTGTCAACTCGCACGTTTCGTACAATATGGAGCCAGTCGCTTCGTCGCAGATGTACAAGAACCCGGCTGTAGTAGTTACGCAACAGAGCAGGTGCTCGTCGTCTTTGCTGTCACTTTGGTTGGTGGTCGCGGACGCAGAGAGTAGTCGGACGACGGCAGGAGACGCGAATACTGCGCTATGAAGATCAGTGGTCCACGCGAGCCTTCCACCGCTGCAGTTGACCTTCCGCAGCATGCCGTCGTGAGATCCAAACACGATCGATCCTGGTCGGTAGACGCAAGGCGAGCTGAAAATCGGTTTGTCGGTCATTGCTTGCCATCGGATATCACCTTCACTCATCGAGACTCCGTAAAGTCGACCGTCTGCACACCCTACGATCAGCATCTCGAAGCCACGGTCGGCGTTTAGACCGGCAAACACCGGGGCCGGGAGCTCCAGCTTCCATTGTGTCTCAGGACGGCCAAGACCCGTTTGTAGAGCCACTACAGCCCCGTTCGTTGTAGCTGAAAAAAGCTGCTCTGACCAAGCGCAATAGAGAGGCGTCGAAAAAATGCTGCCGCACAAGTCGACCGCCCACTGCTTCTGCCCCGTAACAGCATCTAGGCCGTACAACTTGCCGTTATATGCCCCGCAAACTACCAGCTGTTGGTCATCCATGACCACAGCCGAAGCTTTGATCGTCCCCTTTGCTTGAAATCTCCAACGAGTAGCTCCCGAATGCAGGTGTAAAGCAAAAAAAGATCCAGCATATGTCCCTATATACACGAGTTCGTGCTTTGCGCTGATAGCTGCACACGCTTCGATGCGGTCATCAAGTGTGACCCGCCAAATCTCTCGCCCAGCAGCTAGCACGTCGACGCAAACGATGTGGCCTGAATGTGAGCCAATTACCGCCCAAGTCGAGCAGACAGAACCTTTGTGGTCGTGGTGCTGTACAACGAGAGGAGACGCATCGATGCACTTGCCCAAGTCAACTTGCCACACACGTCGCAAGCTCCACGGCAAACATGAGGATGACGATCCTGGGTTGATTCCTCTTGCCATCGAAGTCGGAGAAGTGTAGCACACAGGGAGACATATGCCATCGACGCTGGTGGATGAGCGGTTGTACCGAGAGACGCATGTTAATCTGCTTGTTTGGTGCGTGTTGCTATTGCATTCACCGCCAGGGCAAACACCTGGGCAATCATTTGGCAACTTCTTTCGTCGTTTGAAACAATATGCGATGTTCGAGGCGCTTTCAGTAATCAGACCAGAGATCTGACTTGTAGTCCGGACCTGACGATCGATTCTTTCAGCTTCCCTTGAGGTTGTAGAGCATACAGACACGATTTCCTCGATCCTCATTTCAAGCTGGACAGCAGGCGCACAAATGGGATTGGTCACTATTTCATTACTGCAGACTAAACGTTACAAGACAATAAAGAACGTACCAGTTCACGGGCAGTCAACGAAAGCGCACCAAACTGTTGGCGGAGCTCGTGCACGAACAAAGTTGCTAACAGTGAATTTCCACCCAGCTCACCAAACGTGCGGGACCGTATGTCGTCGTAAACGTCATCAGACGAAGGAATACCTAGTATCTCGTTCAGGAGGTTTGCCACTAACGTTTGCGCGGGGCTTATCATCACGCTGTTGATGCGCGGGCAAAGCGCCAAAGTATCGCGTTGATCAATGGCATACTCGAAAAACCTCTTCAGCGACTTCCGGTCAATTTTACCATTAGCAAAACGTGGTACTACTTTTGCTGGCACCATGAATACTTTGTGCGGGATGTGCGCCGTCCCGTGGTGTTCTGCTATCCAAGCATTCAGCTTTTTCGTTTGAGAATATTGAACGATGCCGGTGCTACCAGTGTCTTCATACAAAACAAATGCCATGATGGACGTTATGAGCAGCCCATGCTTGCTCACTTTCTTCGGAACTGGAAACGCAACGATCCCACCTGTGCTATCGATTTGTGCATCTTCTGTTGTTTCTTTCAGCGCGAGCGCTACCGCACGCTCCACTGCGTCCATGTGAATCAGATGTCCTCGAGTTTTCACAGCACTGTCTTTGCGTCCGTCAAAGTATATATACCTGTGAATCACCGAGCAAATGTCACCTGTGCGAAACCACCAACTCGGGTTCTCGTTCCTAGCCGGATCGTTTTCCGTCCGGCGACCTGATATTGACGCCAAGTCGGGGAACATATTTCCTTGGATATCACCAGCGTATTCATCCGTAAGAAGCGGCCCTGAAACGTACAAGACCCCGGAAACTGGCTGTTTGCCTGTCCGTGTTGTCCCTTCAATTTCGCTGGAGTGATTCCTCGGCCAGATCAGTGTAGCTGAGCCATTCCCAGAATGTCGTATGTCGTTCTTTTGATCCTCTGATACAAGCACAAGGGACGTTTCACCACCACCAACGATCCCTCTTTCATCGAGTGTAGCAATCGGAACATCGTCTCGTTCCCTCGCTGCTACCTGCGTGGGCAATGAACGTGCGTCGAACTCCATACACGTAACATCTCCGCTCAATTCCGTGCTGCCTGCATGCAACATTGAATAGTGAGATCAAGCTGCAGAGTGAGGGAGATAGGTAAAGAATTCACCATAAAGATTCAAGATGGTCACGTTCGGCAAACTGGCCGTGAGGCGTCGAACAACGTGAAATGGCAGGGACTCGCCGCTACTCAGCACGTAGCGCAGTCCATTCAGGCAAGACTTCCGCTCATTTTCGGTCGTTTGTAGCAGCAAAACATCCAGCACACTCGGCACAGCAGTGAAACGAGTCACACCCTCGTTGCAAACTACCTTTAAAAAGCGCGGGCTGTTATCAAGCACGACACTTGTCATGTAAGAGAAACTAGTGCTTTTTACTCGATGCCGAGGAGGTTGCAAATGGACTAATGGCACACGTTGCAGGAACGCGCCAAGAATCTCCCACACCGAGTCTACGAACGAAAGTCTTGTTGCTCGCAGAACTCGCTCACTCGATCTACCTGTCTTTAATGTCGTAAAAGGGTAGATTTTCCACATCCATTCCAGCCGTGTCCACGCCCCTTTTCGTGATCCCAGCACTCTTTTCTCCTTTCCTGTCGTTCCAGACGTATACAGCACATACAGCGGCGCATCAACCTGTATATCGTCTTGGCGTCGACCACCAGCGCCACGCCCCGTCTGTTCAACCTCGATCTGAAAGTACTTGCTCGGCAGCGTGACGACTTGCACCGGCAAAAATGGGCTCGTCTTGTCGCCAACGACTTGCGTCTTGACGTGCTCTCCTGCAAATCTATTGACCACAAAAGTTGCTAGTGGACTGTCAACAGACGTCACAAGACGTCGTGCTCCGCTCCTTTGCAACAGCGCAAGCTGTCGCGCGGGCGAAAGCTGTACATCGAGAGCTACATACACCCATCGTCTCTGTTCGACCACTAATAACATCGTCGCGGTTTCTTCGATCGAATACGGCACCAAATTGATCCCGATCACCGTCTGCTCGTCCTCTTTCGCGTCGTCAGTTCCTGCGTATAGTGCCCTCTGCAGCTCTTGATGCCATTGATACACTTGCGCGTACGACACTCGCCCGGTCTCCATCTCCGTCCAAACAGCGCCATCAAATATCGGACACGACTGTATCAGCGCTGCGTCGTCGCACAGCGCACACTCTGTCCTTAACGCGATCAGAGATACACATAATTGCCCCATTTGTGTGCGACGCTCACTTGTTTTTGTAGCTATTCGCACGAGGAGTTACGGTTTTAATGTTTTCTCCTGTATTTTACGGATAGATACTAAGCTCGTTTTGTTTCTTGTCGAAAAAACGAAAAACGCATCCACTTAGAAACACGCTATTTGCACACGTCGCATACGCTCCGTCCCCCGCGCGTCGTACACTCACTCAACAGAATCAGAAATACCTCTCGACCATCTCATGCCGTCCAGCGAACAGCTCCCTCTCGTCCCGCGGGACTCGCTCCAGCAGCAGCTGTCGAGCTACCACGAGCAACAGCGGGCGCGTCAACAGACCCGTCATCGCTCGAAGACCCTGGGGCGTGCCGTCGTGGGTCTCGTTGCCGCGTCGTTGCTCACGCTGTTGCTGGGCGCGCTGGTGTGGCCAACACCGGTACGCCACGAGCGTACACTCGACCAGCAGTCACTGCTGGAAAGGTACGATCGTGTGCACAACTTCTCAGGAGTCGTGAGAGTGAGTATCAATGGACAGGAGAGAATGCAGCAGGCGATGGGGCTAGCCAACGTGCCGTACATGCAGCCCATTGAGGCACATAGCGTGTTCCCTATGGGGACGCACGTGCAGCTGCTTGTGGCAGTTGCGATGCTGCAATTGCAAGAGAGAGGACTCGTGGACTTGCGACAGTCAGTGAGTGAGCATTGGACACAGGATGATTGGCAAAAGTTTGGTCTTGACACGAATCGCACGACGTGGTGCCCGACCGTTGCGACCGAGGCAACGTGTCAGGTCGTGACGTATCACGACTTGCTCTATATGGGCTCCGGCATTTGTACTTATCCAAGTGACAAGCTGCTACAAAACATGGCATCGCTTGCGACGCGAGTTGGAACGTTCATTGATCAACCACTGGCATTTGAGCCAGGGACGGGCTACCAATACGCGGATGACAACTATGTGCTGCTGGCCTATATGGTGGAAAAACTCAGCGGCTTGACTTTGAAGGATTACTTGGAGACATACATTTTTGAACCGTTGGGGTTGGCCAGTACGACATTTGATGCATTTGCGGGAGCTGTGGATGTGCGACACGCTCTAGTGGATCAGTACGTGCAGTTCTACACGCACGAACAGCCCCCCGTTAGTGAGAGGGAACGTGCTAGTGGAAACAGAAGCCACAGCAGCAGAATGTCTGGTGGACCTGATGGCGTCTCGGTAAAACGCTTGCATCATATGAGCACGGGTTCTTGTGCGGTCTACAAAAGCCTTGAGAACAGTCTATACGGGCTGCAGTCCACTGCTGAGGACATGCACAAGATTTACACCGACCTCTTTCACGAACACGGGCGACATTCCAAGCTGCTTGAGGTCCATTCGGTGGCACATATGGTGCAAACTCGAAATCCGTCATACCCAGCGTTTGGTCTGGGGATCGGCGTCGACTTTGAGAAGCAGCCAAGAGCAGCTGCGACAGACAAAAGTTGGCCCGCCAAGATCGCGTTTTGTGGAAGTACAACATGCTCGACGACGTGTATGGCGATGCAGATGCCTGCCGATAACTTGTCGATCGTTGCCAGTGCCTTCACAAATAATGTGCGCCTGTTTTTTCAATTTGCCGACGCGTTTCGTGCGTACAAGCCGCGCGACTTTATAAAACAACGGGAGTCCACGACAGAGAAGAACGCGTTCGAGAAGAACGACGGTGCGGTCAACACACTGGCGTGGAGCTTGCTGCAATTTTTCTTACCTGTCTTGACAACACCTGACAACTAAACAATGCGAAGGTACGGTCTTGACCCCGCACATATGATGTGATAATTACGCGTCAGTTGTATTTATACATGTTTACTCATGATACGTCTTGTCCACCGTTCGTCGGCCTCGTGCTGCCACCTTCCGACATTTCTCCTCTCATCATGCCGGGTCACGAAGCTTCGTCGTATGAGTAGTCGTATCTTGCAAAACCCTCCCACGCTACGTTTGGCCACTTGTCCCGTCGCTTCATCGATATGCTTTCCACATGAGCCTTGCAAGACTTGGGTGACGACAAGTGAGTAGCACTACCCAAATCGTTCTGTCTATTTGCAACAGGTGACATCAGCCAGTGAACGTTTGCCTAACCAGCATTTTTGTCCATCCAAAATTGATCGCTTCGTATCCGCTTTTAGCTCTTTGCGTTCAGCCTCCCCGCCCACTATCTTCTCTATCGATAGTTTGAAGAAGAACCCGAATTCTTCCTCGTCCATCAAAGCACGGTGCAGGCTGCTATACAGACAGTTGCCGGCGCCCTCGTCCATCGGTTGAAGAAAGCTTCTCATTCGCAAACCCCACATGTGCTTGGGCCACGGAAGCTCACAGGGGACTTTAAAACTAGGTGGTACCCTACAGCACCCATAGCCGTTTGCTGTACTGATGTACTGCGGCATTTTGCGCTTTTCCCATCGCGTTTGCTTGCGGTTCCAAACGAACTGGGAGGACCACGACACAACTTTGCCCAGTTTCACGCCCCAAAGCTTTTGTGGCCACGACGGCTCTGGTGGCACGACAAAATTCTCAGGTATAATCTCATGCGGAAATCGGGTAGCATACGTCTTCAGCAATGGTGCCACGTGCTCCTTCCATGCTTCGTCTGCTAAGTTGTATCGGAAGCCAAAAGCCTCTAGTCGATCAGCATGGAGCCCAACCTCAGCAAAGTACAATCCGTGCTTCTCCATGTCCGAGACGACACTTCCCAGTTGCAGCCCAAACGTCTTCGTGGGCCACGGAAACTCTGATGGAACAACAAAACCATCCGAAATCGAGCAGTGTCCGAATACTGTAGCAAACGTCTGTAGTGCGGGGAAAATAACCATCTTCCACTCTTTGGTCTCGCCGCACGGGGTAACACAAGACTCGCTCACATGAGGGTCAGCAAGAGCCAAATGCCCGCCGTACGGCTGTCCTACCTGTACGCAAGTGATGATGTGCCGAAGGTCTCTGCCCCAGGTCTTGTAAGGCCACGGAGACCGTGCAGGGACTACAAAGTCATCACGTAAGATCCTGTTTCGATTCTCGAAATGGTAAATCCCGTTGGCATGCATTACTTGCCCCTTCCAATCGTGCTCGATCGTCTCCAACTGAATCAAGTTCCACCGCACGATCATTCCAAGATTTACCCCCCATACGTTCGTAGGCCACGGTTCCTTTGGTGGTATAGTGAAACCCCACTTAGATCCCCATGGAATTGTATCTCGGGGGTGAAGGTTGGCAAAAGTCGCAATAAGCGGAACAACCTTTTTCTCCCACACTGCATTGGATAGCGCAAGTACAAAGCCGATCTGGTTCAGATAATTCGCACATCGTCCAATGTACGAAAAAAAGTTGCCCAGCGTCTTCATCTTCTCAACAATTTGTCCCAGCTGTAAATTCCAGACAGTTTCCGGCCACGGGGGTTCGCCAGGAAATATAAAGTGGGGTGGGATGTTGCAATGCCCAAAGTGGTTTGAAAAGACCTTCAAAGCTGTGAAGACAATTTCCCATGCCTCATCTCGTTGGTGACGGAAAAAGGTTTTCAGTGGAGTCCTGGCCATGGCGACGTGCCCGTCATAGCACGCGCCAGTACGGAAACGGTGCAGAATCTCCGCTAGGTTCATTCCCCATGTCCTCGCTGGCCAGGGAAAGTGAAACGGAACTACCACCGTGCCCCGAATCGGTACTTTTCCACCCATCTTCCGGTGAACTTCGACAGCGGTCAGTACTTCCATCCTCCAGCCATACTCGATGTCAGTCATGTGTTGGGCATTCCAGCGTACAATCTTTCCTAAGTGGATACCCCAGACTTTCTTCCGCCATGGCGCTTCGGGTGGAATGACGAAGGTGTCAGGTACTACCGTAGACGGATGTAATGCCGAAAACGTCTTTAATAGCGGAGCACCATACCGTTTCCAGGGAGTCCCCAATAGCTTGAAAGAAATACCCCATGCATCCAACAGGTCTGCGTCACGTCCGATTTGCTGAAAGTAAGTGCCACTATTCGAATAGAGTGCAATCTCTACTCCCAGCCGCAAACCCCAGGTCAGAGTTGGCCAAGGATGTTCAGACGGAACTTTAAAATGCTCTGCAACGCGGCAATGTCCGAACACTTTCACAAATGTCGCCAAAGCAGGATAAATCTTGGTCCTCCACAGTTGATCTCTGTTCCCCGATACGAGCGGCACTGTACTCAGCAAACTCCCATGCTGTTCCCATTCTTTCGCCACATCAGCCATGCGGTGGGCATTTTGCGTGCCAATTTTACCCAGTTCCAAGCCCCACATGACCTTAGGCCACGGGTGCTTATGTGGAATGACGAAATCTTCAGGAAGCGTCAGCTTGCCTGGGTATACCACCGAGTAAATCTTCAGCAATGGATCAATCTGTCGCTTCCAGGTCAAGTCCGAAAGACGAACCTCGAAGCCCAAATCCTTCAGTACGTGCGCATCACGAGTAATCTGCACAAAGTACTGTTCTCGCCACTGAGAGTCATTCATAAACATCCCAAGCTCTAGTCCCCAGGTCTGCTTCGGCCAAGGCACCTTCGACGGAACGACAAAACCTGACGTCATGGACTCGGCGTCTCCAAACTCATCAGCGAATGTGACCAGCGCTGGCAAAATGCACTCCTGCCACTCCATGTCTCTCGGACCCCACAAGAACCCCAACTTCTCTAGTGCGTCACTGTCCGCCCTGGCTTGAGCTGCATACTTCTGTTCCGCTCGAATCTGCTTGACTACATCTCCAAGATGTAGCCCGTAAGCATCGTAGGGCCACGGCTTTCCCACCGGGACCACGAAATCATCCTTGACGTTGCAGTGACCGTGTTCTTGGTAGAAAACACGCAGTGCGGGCAAAACCTGGTGCTTCCATGATCGATCGATGGCGTTCGTCACCGTCCACGTGAACCCCAACTTCTGCAATTCACGTTCCGACGCAGCTACCTCTACACCATAATATCGCTTGACGTCGTTGCTCTTACGGATAAACTGGCCCAAACAGAGCCCCCACGTGACTCGCGGCCATCGTGCGTTCGAACGTGGCACCACAAACTCCTCCGGCACATCTGAGTGACCAAAGAGCGAGTGGAAAATGCGCAAAGCTGGCATAATGACACCGAGCCATTTCCCTTTTTGGTAGTCGACCGTGTTCACTATCATGGCATCCAGCGCGTCGCCAAGCGAGGCTTCCGGCTGGCGCGTGATGTCCATAGTGGAAAACCGATTCTGGTCCAAGTCCCGTATTCACGCTTGGCTGGTTCTGGTTCGTGTTGTCCCGAGACTTTTTGTCCACTAGCAAACGCTCCAAATCGTGTAGCCGGATAAAATATACAAACGAAGTACATAAGCAGGTCGCTGGATAAAAACAGAGTGCTTGAAAAAGCTGAGCGCTCGGGAAAAGCTGAGTACGATAGAGTCGGGGCCCTGATTCCAATCTCGCCTGCATTGCGGGCGACACAAATGCCGCATCATGTGGCCCACACATCACTCGAGAGACTTGATTTTTCTCGGCGCTTCGTCGAAAAAAGCTCAGCATCTCCGAAGCTTCGGTGGTGTATGGCAACTGTACTTGATAAAGTAGCACGGCCTTTGCGAGCAGCTGTCACAACGAGCTCTTCTTAGCTGAGCAGCAGTAGCGCTTCAAGCATCTGCTTTCGATCGCACTTTGCAGCGACAACTGGCTTCCCCATGTCTCGTACAAAAATCTGATCAGACTAAAGTTTGAAGATGGACAGAGGGCGGCGGCATCGCCGTGTCACAGTGAGAACGTTTTTCCTGACTCGGTGCTGTTAAGAAGTTGCGCGATGTCCCAGAATGTGGACAGCTTGAAGAAGAAGTTCAAATGTGGACATCTTGAAGAAGAAGTTCGAATGTGGACAGCTTGAAGAAGAACAAAAAGGCAGATAATCGCCACAACATTTGCAAGTCGACACTAATTTGGGCTCTTCGAGCACCAACGGACCGAGACGAAGACCTCCTGAGAGCCAGTCATCTGATCTCCTTACCTTGGACGGGAAGTTCCCCAAAGTGGGGCCAAGGTTAAAAGGGGGAGACCTTTTCTCCGCTGCGCTAGCTACAGGAGGCATCGCAGCGTGCGACCCGAGAGGGAAGCAATCCCCCGGTATCCCGCGGTGTGGGGCATATCGACGGAGTGTCGAACCCCTGCACCCAAGGCGCAAGCGAGTTCCTGCTATTTTCCGTCCGCCTTCTTCAGTCGCCGACCCGTTCGCCTAGCGCGGATTCCGGTCCCACGAAGAGAACTTGCCTAGAACGTGACTCTGAACGGACCCGTCCAGGTGTACCAGCGGCCTATCGGGGGTGATCGGTTTGGTACCCGGCGGTTTTTGCTATTTTCGCGCCCTGTCTACCCCCAGGACTGGATACCCGTTTCCACGTGCCCTTTGGGGAGTGCACCCCGTGTAGCCCGACGTCTCGAGCAAGCAGAATGAGAAAGCGAGGAGAAGAACGACATATTATGGTAGAAGATTAGGGAGAGATTTATCCAGACATCTAGCGCAGTCATAACGACCCACTAGACAGTCTGATCCTCCTCATTTGCAAGTCGAGAGAAGCTGACACTTTATCTGGTTGGAACGATGCGTACTAGATGTCCGAATTGACCTAACCCGGGTCAAAAGCGTCGACGTCGTGCGATGAGTTGGTTTTTTGTACTCGACTCGCCCCATCTTGGGATGCGCTGAGAGGTGTCGTATCGTGGAGCCAGTGCCTCGCATCAGACATCTACCATGCACCGTCACTAACGTGCCCATCATAGTAGCACCAGCAAGCGCGGTCGACCAATCTTGCGGTGTGTAAACGGAGCACCAGCGCCAATCGTGGGGCACCAAAAGTAGTGACGAATATTTCCTTAGGTCGAAGCGATCGTTGCCAAACCCGATGGCGCGTGGCGCAAAACGACGCAACGTGTAGTGGGATTCCCTCCAGTACCGCATTGTGCGGCGCGTCGCACTGGAGCGTGGGATCATCAAAGTGGTGACGCGTAACATGGGTACAACCAGATCGTAGCTGTCGTCATTGGGCGGCCGCACGTGCACAGCGGCATTCTGTATACATTCCTTTCCCCCTTGACTTTTGTAAGGGATGGTTTCTACATGGGACGAGCTCAGCTTTTTGGGCGTGAACTGATTTGAGCTGCAGCCGCAGGCTTTGAAATGATAGTCGCTTGTGTAGATGCACGCGATAGGCAGCAGATGGGAGAGTACATGAAGGTGCAGGGGATCATGACGAGGGAGAAGTCGAGATAGATCCAGAACGATGGCGTATGTAACGATCGGAATCAGACGGCTTGATCTGTTCGAGTCGGTGAGCTGAAAATCGGTCTGCCAAGTTAAACAGCCTGAACCGGCAATGCTTTCTGCGCAATTGTTCGTTCTTGTTCCATGCGACTGCTGCGGTCGTTCATCTGATTATGGCTCGCAGCATGTTGCAGTATTACTGCTCGACGTCTGCGGTCGAATGAATACCTCTCGACTAGACGCAAATGAGCAACAAAAAGGTAAATATATGGTAGATCAGCAAGATCTGAAGCCCACACCATAGTGTACAAGTTATCTGGTCTAGTAGAATGAATCAAGGTTCGGATAATCACGTATTATCTCGGATAGTTGGACTTGGTGGCTGGTGGATGACTTGTCCGTCGGAGGTGCAATGACCGCAATTTGTCGCAGCTGTTCGACAGAGCAACTCGTTGGTGTTGATGTGTTGAAGGGGATGATAAAAAACACGAAGACAAGAACAATCTGGTCTTGCCGTTGCAACGACAACAATATGACCGGTGACATGGTATTGCCTATGGAGAGGAGAAAGCTATAGAGCTTTTGATACCACCGAGCGAGGAGGGTCGGCCGTGTCGCCATTACCTTCTTGCTCGTTCGCTTTTCCAAGTACGACGGATAACGAAAGCGTTGTGCGTGTTTTTGAGGACCCACAGACATAGACGTACGCGCACTCATGCACACTATGACGACACCTGCCAAAAGGTGTCTTGCCTTTTACCTTACGCACGAACAATGCACTTCGCCCTTTGGTCTCGCTGTTATTGTCGGCACATGTCCAGCGCAGCACCTTGCTCGGGTGAGATATATAGACCGCATACAGCATGTCCTGTGTGTCGTACGCGGTGTATCTCATCGTGGCTGTCGGGCAGAAACGCACACGGGAAGCACCTGCCGAGAAGCTTGGCGTCCGCCTCGCGCACGCTAACCATTTGAGACTCCCTTCGGGCCCGCAACAAATGGGTGAACGATGCTTGCGTGAATAACAAAGGCGAGGAAGATTGTGCAGTCTACCCAGCATGCAGTGAGAACTGAGAGTAGCATATAGGCTGCATTCACACATGCATCGTGTGCGACAGCATAAGCGGATGTACTGAAGTTGTACCTACGAGTTCTGAGCTCTATCGTACACCTCTTGCAACTGCTCAGCAGACAAAATGGAGACGCAACAGAAAAAAGAAATTAAGCGCTTGTCGGCCTTTGTCGTGCCCCTGTGCTGCGGCTGATATGCCCACTAATCTCGTGATCGTAGCTCACAGTAGCACGCATCGAGCACGAGTGTTTAAGCACGATTCGCATCGGTGCAGGGGGTCTCCGAAATGCTCAGTAGGTGCCTGCCTTTTGCATCGTACGAAGACAAAAAAGCGAGCTACCTCAAATTGCTGCATGGACCGTGCCCACAAGGGGGAGCCTCATTGCCATGCCGTCTCGCATATGTGCACGATACAGCAAGCACGAGACGAGATGCTAGAGGTCAGGGGCACCAATCATACTTCTTTTGACCTGATTCTCGACTTTGATGCGCTCTCGTCCATGGCTTTCACCCGCAGCACGTGTTTTGTATCGTAAGCGGACGAGATGCTTAACGCTGATGAACTAAATAACTCGGCTACCGTCAAACCTACTTGCTGCCGATGGCACCGTTATGACTCCCTTTGCCTAGCATGGTACAGACAAGAGCACTGACCATGGTCCAATTTGCGATTCAACGATCGTTTCGACGCCCTGCTCGTGTGCGATGAAGGTCAGGACGCATTTAGGTACGAAAAGCCCATGATGAGTCCTATGCCTAGAACACGGCAGCGACATCAACTGTAACGGGGCACGCCTTGTGTCAAATCAACACAAGGTTGTGTGCACATGACGTCACGTACACGTGGCGTGAGTAAGCGCAGCGAAGTAGACAGAACTCGAAAGCTCTGTCTGAGGGATAGAGTAGAACTGCATTTAATATAGTTATGTTTCCAAATAAAACATATTTCGTCTTGAGCTAACTATATTAAACTACAATCTCCTATGTGGGTTTCTTGCTCACCACCCATTGCGCGCGTCCATCAGCGATTGGTGGTTAATCTGGTTGATGTACCGTGAACATCAACCATCAGGTGGAGCAACCCATCAAAGAAATATTACCCTCGAGAGTAATATTCCTTCAAGCTAACTCCTTACTAGTAATGTCAATTGAACCTTATCCAAAAAGATAATGTTCAGAAATTGATACAAAGATATCAATTTTTATGTAACGGGCTCACCCCGTTACATCAACAGTCAATGGTGCTTACACCTCATCTTTGATTGCGATCGTCCGAAACGACATAGTTGAGTCATTGTTGATACGGCAGTCAGCGAGGATAGGTGCGCGATGAGTCGTGTTCTGAGTGGCAGTAGCGGCTGGACACACCACGGGCACTAGTGCCATCGAAGATTTCGCATTATGTTGCAACATAGAGATCGTGACCGCGGAGTATCTGCAGACATGCCAGCAACTTTCGATGCTACCAAGTCTTTGAATTGCTGGCATAGACAGTTGGTGGCACGACAAGCAAAGCTGTGCCCTAGCACCGGCTGTAACACTACCAAGCGACACCAATAAACGCAGCTTCTGATTTCCATATGCGAGGGCGCAATATTTTTGTCGCTTCCTGATCAACGGAGTTCCAGTCGAGACCTTGTAGTTGCTCAGTTCGGTAGCCCGGTCGTACTCTGCGGTCATTTCATATACAGCCGCGATTGGAAATTCCAGCGTGTAGATGCAGCAGACTCACTCCACGGCGTAGTTAATGTCGAATCTGAATATACAAAGGCATTCTGGCAACCTTTACCACTCTATTGATGAAGTTAGCACGCTACCCTAGCAACTTGCGCATCATTTGAATCACCACATCGGCTACGATACAGCTCAGCTCAATCGTACTT